ACATGACCATTGTCATGGTGATGACTTCAATGATCCATATTGTCTCTCATTTCAAGACGTAAGACTATTCATGAGTACTATTCACATTAATGTCAAAAGTGTATTTCGTAATCTACCATGTAGACTTACAAATATTAATAGCAAGGCCTATTACTAAAAACTACTCTAACTTTATGAAGCAGGCCTTTGAATGATCACGCTCTATAAGTTACTGCATCACTTCATAAAGATTTATACAAATTTGAAAGGCATTCACAGCACGTGTGAACAGAACTCCGAAACAACTGCTCAGAGCAAGAAGGGCATTGGCTCATACATGTATCTATGTAATAATAAAGACATTTATAACACGCAACATATCCACCCAGAGGGTGCTCAAGGCACTTACAATGAGCTACATAATATACTTAGATACAATTATGCTTACATGGTAAAAAAAGATGATATTAGTTCAAGTTGGCCATTAGATAAGTTTTCAGACTGGCCTTGATCTACTGTAACAGTTAATGCCCTTGTGGCTCGATGTTCTTCTGATAATTGAAAATTATGCTTTTTTGTTGTTGTTTTGCATGAATTCATGTCAGAGCTACCAGTTCCCTTCAATCTTTGGTTATAAATGATCCAACTACAGTGTACCTTCGTCATATTCCCTGTACATGCCTTGTGTGAACATGCCTTGTGTGAACATGATGTCCATCACTCCAGATCGCTGATGCGAACACACCCTCTGTAACATCTTCAAAATAACTCATTCCTGAATTCAACAAGGCTTTACCTCAAATGAGTGACAGCTAGGCAGTCCAAGAATTGGCAAAGAAACCAGGAAGAAATACAATCGACATTGTTTAGCGTATGTTATATTATACATTTCCTTTGTCAAGCTTTACTAAAAACTTGATGGTGACCTCTGACCCCTACTATCACAGTCCCACTGAGGAGACATTGATTAATAGACAAAACAAGAATTACAACGAATGGCCAATATCAGTCAATTCGGCTGTCTGCCTGAGTTATTATTCCATAGTCTTATATTTACTAATCTATCTAATCCTGCAAAAGTATAATATAAAAGTATTAATATTTGTTTCGACTTCTGACTTTTGAATCTACTACTGTATTTAATTCCTTTTATTTTCCCATTAAAGAAAAAAGATTATAAAACACACAACCTACCGGTAATCTATGACTGTCAAATGTTGGGTAACACCTTAAATTCTAATTTTTTTTGACAGGCATGATTTCTGTACTGTTTCAATATTGTTATAGTGTATTTTTCTTTCTGAAAGCTTAGAATTGAAGGGGGGAAAAATATGTAATTACATTGAAACTGAAACTTCCTGACATTAAGTGCTTTTATTTATAAATGTCAACTCAGAATGCAATTATATGTACATGTACGTGTAGATTGCATCTTATTAATTGATTTCTCTTGTTGTTTAAATGTAAACATATTTTCCCTAGAGCGTTGAAACATAAATTGAGGCCTGGGTAATTAATGTTGATATCTAGCTCAGAAAGCAATTAAAATTTCACATATTTTTTGTTTTGTATTGTTTTGGTTGTGTGTTATTGTTGTTGTTGTTGTTTTCTCATTATTCTACATATCAGAAGTAAAACATGAATATATGTGCATTTTATTTTAAACCCATGGAGAAGGTTAGACATTTCATACCGCTAGCAACCCAAGTTATTTTATTTTAAGTGAATTGATATTTTCAATGTTAAAAAAAGTCCCATCGCCCAATGTTTATATTAATATTATGGTTTAATATGATAACAATGGACAATCATGGTTTTAGAGATAATTATATTTATACAGCCCACTTCCTTTACATTGTTTTCTTGATTCCCTTTTTTGCAGTGTTCATATCACTGAAACAGCATAATTTGACCCCGTTCTGTGTCAAATCATATATGCGTAAGCCTTCACTCAGTATGCAGTCGATGATTAGATCCTTATAAAGTCGAGCTGTATTGTATCAAATTGTATGCATACATGTGTAGCCTGCACAATGTCAAAATTAAATTACAAAGTCTGTCTTCAACTACAGATACTGCGATTTCTAATTCAGACTTTAACAATACTCTTTCATATCTATGTCGATATGTTAAAACAGACTGAGGGAAATTCTCTTGCAGATTTTCTTTGTAACTGCTCAAGTGATGTACCCCCTTTAACAACAGAGACAATGCCTATGAGACCCCTAAGAGGACCAGGACTAGGATCGGGGAAATCCCCTATCAAGACAATGAAATAACTTCATAACAACCCTGTATACTACCATCACAGAAGGTACAGTGTAATGTGTGTCATACAGAGCCTATAGCACAGTCAACCATGTACCCCCCCCCCCCTATGCGATTAATACAATTCTACATGCATATTTCGCATTGTACTTGTCCAGATTCTGTCCCTTTTTAATTATTTTTTATTCTTCAATCTCATGCATCCCACTCACAGTGCGGTACGTGTCTAAACTAATCACACGATCCCCCAAAACAACCGTAATCGGGCCGGGTACAGGATAAGAGGCAAGGTCTACTGTCAACGTTGAGGGCGTGTTTTTTTTCTCAGCTGTTTGGGCGTGAGACACAGAAATGGTCCACAGGCTGGACTAACACTGTACTTGATCTTCTACTGGATTCTTAAAAATAAAATCTGTATCTCCGTACGTGTGGTGCTCGACCTTGTCGTATTGTCTGCCATCCACATTTCAATTTCTGGATCTATGAACCATGTCGTATTGGACAATACCACTGCCATGGAGTCCATGTGTAACTTCCATTGTAAATGAACAAACTTTGGTAGGTAAAAAGTGAATTTGAGCTGCCTCTGAATCAAATCTGTTTACCAAGTCATTCTGGGAATACATGTAATCAATACAAAGCCAGTGAATACAACTAAAGGCTAATTAATCAGACATGACTTGGTAAACTAGCAGCCACAAAAAAAGGAATCATTTTGTTATAAATATGTGCAAATAAATAGCACCTGCATGCATCAAAGGTCCTGTGTGTATTCATTAAGCTCTGTATTACAAGATAGAAATGTGTAGTAAGTAATACACTTTACCTCATCATGATACAAAATTACAGCCGCAGTTTTATGACTTCCTATCTGAACGAGGCCTACCTCTATACATAGGATATTCCTAGATATTTGTACCAACAAACTGTAACCCATTTTCTAGGGTCAAAATATAATCTGTTTTATGGTCCCATGGCATTTATGAACCTATCTAGTACATAATTTGCTGTGAATTGATTTGATTTGATTTGATTTATTTATTTCTGTTTGATTTTCTTTTTCTTTTGCATTTTTACAAATATATAACAAACAAACAAACATTGCAAATTTACACATGACAAAAGAATATATGTAGAATAAAGTAAGGCTGGCTGTAACTAATCGAAAACATCAAACAGGAGGGTTGACAAAGTAAGCAAAGCTTGATAGTATGACTACACTCAAAGGATACATAATAATACAAATATGGAGGAAAAATATTGGTAAAAGGGGAAAAAGACAGAAAAAAAGAATACACAAAGAAAGAGGGGATGCACATCAAGATTCACAGATGTACGTGGTAGTTGGTTTTCAATTTGTCATAAAAAGATAGAAAAGAAGATGCAAGTTTGAATATGAACCCTTATATCTAACATACAATAAGGAACTGTGATTTCTTTATATGCTAATCTCTGAAACAATATACCTCCCACACATCCTATTGGACTAACTCCACATAAAGCATACAGAGCTAAAGAGATCCCAGTCTTTGTTTTAGTAAGAGTACATGTCACGGACAGAACAGGACATGGAGTACAGGGAAGTAAAAACAAATTTATTATGATATGACATAGATTGTACAAAACTTTGTTTGTTTGAATTCAGAAGGGTGTCTATGCATAAACTTTAGCACAGATAGAGTTCACGCTCTCCTGGCTTAGAACAGACAATTTATACTTTACTTAAAGGGACTATGTCCCATTTGCAGGCCAAAAAAATGAAAAAGTTAAATTCCAATGGCATTTGAAATATAATACTAATTTAGAACTCCCCTTAAAAAAATGGGGCTTGAAAATGTCTTTACCGTAAGTGGTAAAATAACGACTATTAGTTGTCAAATCGACTTTAGGGCTATAGAGCCCAAAAGTAATAGTCTTGATTTTCAGACAATTGTACCGAATGGTCATACGTTTTATGCTGCGCAAAGATTCAGTCAGTTTAATCTTGGCCATCACAAGAAGTGGGTTATTGATGTAGACAAATGCTCATTTACCCTTTACAACTCTTTTCATGTATGTTATTACCAAAGAAGAAAAAAGCCAGTCAGTCACTGAATAGTGTCTGACAGTGAAGTCTAATAAGTAAACAGGTTTCCTTGCATAATTTGAATATGAGGACACTGCTAATGTTTAAATTTCACAGATAGGACATACATGCCATTTTCATAATTCCTGCAAAGTTCTACAGAATTTGAGGTTGGCTGCAAAAGGGACATAGTACCTTTAAAGAGGTATTCAACTTTGAAGTATGATATCACTCTAAAACTAGCAATGTCAAGATCAATACAGGCATCGTTTAACAATGTTAAATCTGAGATGCACGGCCCTACGTGTTATCAGTGTCTGTGATATGGTGTAACATTGAAGCCCTAAAAAAAATTGCGCTTAAAAATGATCAAGAAGTACCTCAAAAAAGTAAAAAAATCTTTGAGTGGCGGTTTTACCATACTCGTTTCCCCCAATAGACTGTAGTGTTATGAAAACTGTTTGGCAAACACAAAATTTGGTTTTGATGTCCAATCAAATATATCTTGATGATCAGAAAGGCGATCGGTTTGTAAAAGTCATGGGGTTCCTGACTGACCTAAAGGTTTATAATTATCATTGCAGCATGAGCTGAATCCAGGATTTTGTTTCAGAATCTGAGACAAGGTTACCGGATCCCTTTAACTCATATATTCTTTCACATAGAGTTAATGACATTCTGGCTCTGAAGAAATGACATCAAATCTGTACTTACATGAGAGAAAAGGGTCTCCTGGTCTTCGGCACAACAGGAGGGAGATTCCCCTCGACGTCATCATAGATGTCCCCTGCATCGTCCGGTAACTGTTCCTCCTGTACCGGCTGCGGGGGTGGAGGTCTGGTCTTAGATAGGCCCCCACCAGGCCTGGCTGGGAGGGAGGGAGGGGTGGTGGGGGTAGCTCCTGGCTTGGGCGGTCTAAGTGGCGGGGGAGGGGAGTCTAGAAAAGGAGATGAAATAGTGAGAATATAAGAGATTACGACAATAACAACAACACTGACAACAATAACAACAGGTCAAGTTCAAGCTAGTTTGTCCTATTTGGACAGCACTGACCACTTCTTATATTTCTTTTCATACATCTGATCTCTGTATTAATTCAACTATCTAATAACTATACTAGATCAAATTTAGATCAGACCAAATATGAAGCAAATTTTGATAAAATATTAATCTGGAAACATGCAGAATCCCTTAGCAAGAGGTAACATATAGAAGAGCTACATGTACGTAAGCTTTAAGAATGCAAGAGAAACAATCATTCAATTTAAAGAAGACAGGCTAAAAATATCTGTACCAATATGGATCTCCTTACCTGAAGATGCGGGTAGAAACTTGGCTAACGATACGTTGGGCGGTTTGGCTGGTTTCCGAGGGGCATTGCCGATGATTAAGAGGGGTGGGAGAGGTTCAAGGACTGGTTTTCTCTCATTCGATTTTTTGCTGACTGTATGAAGGAATGAAGTTCTCCTAAAAGGGATATCCGTCACTGAGGAAGCAGAGGAGTTTTCTGAGTCTGAAACGGGCGGGGCAGGTTCATCCGCCCTGGTCCCATTCTTCCAATGGTTCTCCTTGTCTTCATCTGCAGCGGAAGGTGTCGGAAGACTCTGTTTCCTGGGCCTCGCATGTATATCTGTTAAACTGTCTTTCCTGGCTGGTGTTCGAGGCTTTTGTTTGGTTGTCAGTCCTGCAGGCGGCTTGGGGTTGGCATGTAGAGAGGACTTGTTCTGAACAGGGGTGCCACTCACATGTGGTGGGGTCTTGGGTTGGGAATGGGCTGAGCCAAGCGGAGAGGACGGTTCTTGCCTTGGCGGTGCTGCTGGCTTGGGCTTTGGCTTGGGTTGCAACTTGAAGCTGGGGATTTGGTTCTCCGAGGGTCTGGCGTCTGCAGGGGGCTTGGGTAAGGGAGGCTTCTTTAGCTTCACCTTAGAGATGTCCTCAATATTAACTCCCCCTCCGGGTGGGAATCCCCTCGCCATCGGTGACTTGACACCGTTACTTGGGGATTTGACTCCATTGGCAGAAGAGTTGTTAATGGGTAAGTTACTGGGCTTGGTAAGTTTTGAGGGCTTGTTCTGGACAGAGGGCTTTTGGGCTGGGGGTGGTCCCAATGGTGGCCCACTTCCTTGGTTGAACCGTGCAAGAATATCCTTCACAGAATTTTCTGACTGAAAGAAGAAAAAACACATTTTCTTAGATGTCAGAGACATAAATGCAGAGCTGTGATACAATGCATATTACTGAAGTGGAATTGTACAATTTTGTGGTAGACTAGCTGACACTAATTTTTGCAAATAAAACACAAAACATATAATTTGCTAACAGAAAAAAAACCTATTTTGATATAGATGAAGAATGAAATTAGTTCAGCACATATAGCAATATACACAAGTTCAAAGCTTGTGTACCAAATTGCAAATTCATTGTGTATGTTTTGGCAATACTTGGAAACTATGACTATACAATCATATAATGCAGCAAACTGAAATATTTCTTACTCTTTGTCTTATGTTCCTTCATTTTTCCAGTCCAGAATGTTATATTTAAAAAAACATGTCCTCCTTACTTTCTTAGTCACAAGAAACTCAATTGACCTTAAAGGGATCCGGTAACTTTGTCTCAGATTCTGAAACAAAATTCTGGATTTAGCTTATGAGTTATGATGCAATGATATTATAAACCTTTAGGTCAGTAAGGAACCCCATGACTTTTACAAGCCGATCGCTTGTCTGATTATCAAGATATTTATGATTGGAATTACAAATTTTGAAAAACGTTCGCCTGATGGTTTTCATAACACTACAGTCTATTGGGGAAAAAGAGTATGGTAAAACTGGTCACTCAAAGATTTTTACTTTTTTGAGGCACTTCTTGATCATTTTGAAGCGCAATTTTTGTAGGGCTTCAATATTACACCATATCAGACACTGAAAACGCATAGGGCCGTGTATCTCAGATTTAACATTGTTAAACGATCCCTTTAATACTCAATTTGTGAGTGAATAAATGAATACTTACCATAATTTATCACACTGTTGCACTCATTGGAAAGGATACCTGGAAGATAAATTGAGACCATATTGTATTCTTTATTTATGTCTTTTAGCAAGACATTGATCTACATTTGCCACACTCAACCCAGGGGATGTAAATGGGTACCTGGCAGGTGTTAATTCTTTGAAATGCTAGAGCGCCGTAATGGCAGCACAGCTAAAGCCGGGGTAATAATCTCCAAGTTTGGAAGCGCTTTAAAGTGATTGTAATACGCGCTATATAAAAACTGAGTATTATTATTTGATTTGTGAACCTTTATATACCTGTATGTATGGTTTCTTAATTCTTATTATCTACAGTACTGCTGTTCTAAATCTTCATGTACGGTATTATATGAGCTTCTCCATATATCAGGAGTGCAAGAAATGGCAAAATATTGTTATTGTACTGTACATCACCTGGTGAGCACAAATAAACAATACTTTAAGAATGAAGCTGAAAAATCTTATTTGAATTAATTTCATTTCATTTTTATTTTTTCATTTCCAACAAAATACAATACATAATAACCAATACAATGTAAAATGTATACAAAACATAGTTACATTGGTAATAAATAAATCTTAATAATAATTTATACATTTCAGGAAGACAAAAAAATGAATTTTAAAATTTAATTGCATTTATATTTTGAGAAAATGGAGAGGTCCACTGAAAAGCAAAGCTTGTAAATTGTGGACCCCTCAGATAATAATGAGTGTAAACAAAATATTGAATACATAATCAATTATTGACCAATCCCCCGCCCCCTTAAAAAAATGACAGATACATTCATGTACTTGGTTAAATGTTTTTAATCAGGGATCTGAAAATTAAAACTTGTTAATGTAGGTTTTAAGTTATAGCCTGTTAATAGCCTAAACGGGTGTTAACTTACTGAGGTATAATGGCCATTAGCAGGCCGCAAAATGAAAAGGTTACATTCCAACGGCATTTCAAAGACAGAACTAATTTAGAACTTCCCTCAAAACGAAAGGGCTTGAAAATGGATTTTAGTGGGAAAATAATGACCACCTAAAGTACAGGGTTAGTTGGCCCTAACTGCACAATCGCAGTGCTAACATGAATTTTCTTATCCCGGGATAGGCGCTTAGTACGAGACTAAAACAGCGTGTGTGAAAAGCCAAAAAGTTAGTCCAGGGCTACGGAAAGTACAGGGCTAAGCAAAACAAGTGTGAAAAGCATAATAGATAGATAACAGTGAAAAAAATACACGGGGGCTCGAGGCGAATTAGCCCCCGAAATGCCTAAAAGAGCCCCCGAAAATCAGAAAAGACCCCCTGTAAATTTGCATAGAGTTAAATGCAAAACAAATTTTAGAATGTTTTTTTCATGGAGGCAAGCTTGAAAAGTAGCCCCCGAAAATTTTTTTTTTTTTTTTTCCCTGATAGATAAGACTGCCATTCACACTACAAGATTCATTAAAGTCTGCGAGGTCGCTCAAAGCCAATTTCCCCGGAAAAGTACCCTCTTGATTTTATAATTGTTGATCAATTCCTTTCTTCTTTCGAGTTTCCAGATTATTTATGTATCCCAAAGGGAGCCCCCTGTCTACACCCGAGAGACAGGACGGTGTCTGGACGGTGTCTTAGAACGGACAGGACTACGCGGTAACCTACAGGATACAAAAATCTACATTTTGTCGTATTTTTATTTTTTTAATTTTTTTTCTTCATCTATTTTCTCTTTCATTTTATTTTAAGGGGGAAAAAAAAGAATAAGAAAAAAAGAGAGAAGCCTATATTTAAATTATATTTTTGATACTCTTATTTTAAAAAAAAAGAGAAAGAAAGAAATTAATATTAAAAAGAAAGGCGTTGGTGATAATAGTCAGGTTTTGACTGATTGCCATTACAACAAAAAACAACAACAACTACATGTAATACAATGATTTGTATCACAGAGAAGTGACATACTTCCCCTGTAATGATATTTCTAATTGGGCTAATAAGCATTATAAAGCAGGGGAAATTCATCAGATAAGTTTGTTAGATATACACAGAATCTGTATTTCTCACAAATTTGGAAACAGATCCTGTAGCCCCTCTTTTCATTTCCCCTCACAGGAGAAGGCATTAATTCTCCCCTATTTACCAGTGCTACATGTGCCAACAAATCAAGACGACAGTTATCTTTTCCCACATTCAATCCACAAACTGTGTTTTTAGACTGAAATACATATAAGGGAAGACTTCTTAAAGGTAAAGACCAGTTTTGGAAATGCCCCCCTCTCAAAAAATGAGATGGAAGCTCTTATTACCTATCATGTGAAAGAATATCTTTTGACTAATCCGTGATGATACAAATTTTGCCGACAAGCCGTCTACGTATTGACATATTTGGTAAATTAGTATATCTATTTGGACCTGATAAATATAACGCACGTGCCACGCACGTGCCACACATGTGTGCGTAGTCCCATATACATGTACGTGTACATCTTTCTGTGTACGGTGTTTGTAACTTTACCAAGACTGGGCCAAATTTCTTATCATTATCGATTAAACAACGTTTCTTTCACAATGCAATCGCATGACCAGAACTCAACTTTATATTTAATCATTTTAGTACATTGTAGTTTGATACAATTATTATCATCATAGAACATGGCTTTTAATTCTCAAACTTTTTGTATTTTATTTGCTTGTCTGATTTTTCTTTTTCTGTTGCAAGTAAGTTATACTCGGACCATGCAGCCATGGCCTTAAGCACTTTGGTTGCTTTATTTGCCTCTCTGCATGGTTGCTTGTTTGCCATACATGTAATTTTGCACAAAACAATGCGGCACCTGTTGACGAAAGGGTTGTTTTGTGGAACACAATGTCTTTGCAAAATTACAAATTCATGGCCTTGATTAGTTCCATGACAATTCTTTTAAAACTTGGAATCAGTTATATAAGTGCATGGCTCAGATCAAGGGTACCCTTCACTGACCTCAACTTCATTTGGAGATAATATGAAATCGGTTTCCCTACAATGTTTACAAACATTAATAATGTGATGCTAATAGTGTGAGGAATCTTACCAAACCATTAATTATGGCTTGTCATGGGTTTTTGGGGCACCAGCATGCATAATGTCATGAAAAATACCCATATTTGGACATTAAAATGTTACACGGGAAGCATGTGTATTTTTAATCTCAAATTAACAGTATTGTTTCATATTTTTTTGTCATGATTTTTAAATGAAATGAAAGAATGATATCTCTAATTGATTTCCTGTGTGTTTCATTCACTGATCCTCGGTGTTGAATATTTTTAATTGCCGTTTGAACATTATTGAATCGTACATAACCTTGGTGTCCGGCTGTTGTCCCAAAATTGTGTAGAAAAAATTTCATGAAAGAAATAGCCTCATAATGATTAAAATGTAATGTATCGATGAAATAATTACACAACAATAAAACACCATCAAAATGTTTGTGCTCACGTGATTAAAACATCATTGTGAAAACAATATTGTAACCTAGGAAATTTTCGTGTCCGGCCCGTTATGTACGTGCACATGAAGCTTACGGGTCGATTGAAAAAGTAAGCAACCTATTTTGTACACGAAATGAAAAGTACCTTCGTGGGCAAAATAAAAAATGTATCCTTCCGCCGGGAATTCGCCCAAACGCGCCGCAATAAGGCAAAGTTGCTTCGTGTCCGGCCATTTTGTTCCGAGTTATGTACGATCACCTTCACGAGCTCGAAAGCAGTACCATTGAATTCTATCAACTATTGGCGATTTCCCGGTCCATTGTCAAGTTTAAGGTAAGATTATTTCATTCCATACATATTTGAGAATTCTATATGCACTTTAAAACGATTTTTGTCGGATAAATATCCAGATTTTGTAGTGATTTGCGAGCAGTCAAACACGTGTTTGTCGCTTGTTTTGAATTGTTGCAAGAAAGCCGTACGTGTCCGAGTTATGTACTTGCAAGAAGTAGCGAGAATCACAAGAAGTGTGCAATTTTTTTGTTTCATTTTTACTTAGATTTAGTTTATTTTTATTTATTTATAAGTTCCTGAACATTTCTTCGAAATAAAATCATTTTTGGCGTGCTTGTAAATAAATTGCTCCGTACATAACCGGGACTGATTTGCGTGTCAAACGGCGATGCTTGTGTAGTGTCCATGGTTATGTACGTGCAAGTTTGCAGTAAAAATCTGCGAACCATACATTTTACGACAATTTGTGAATTTTGTGCTTATCAAATATAACAGTCCCTTCCCATTCTGCCGATTCGATTTTTTTAATGCATTTTGAAACTCGTTTTATCGCTAAATTACATCGTACATAACTGGGACGCTGTGTGTTGTCTCGGCGTGATTGCAAGTTTGATGTCCATGTTATGTACAAGCAAATAAAGGTGAAAACCTATGATTCGGTTACATTTTCGGTAAATTTTCGCCATCAATTTTATTTGTTCCATTTCACATCCCTGTTATGGAAAATTTAGTTTATTTTTTTTTCGGGATGTGGTAATTTTGTGCCCATGTTGTCCTGTACATAACATGGACACCGGTGAACCCTGCCATGACCCAGTTATCATTGTGTCCGTGTTATGTACATGCACATTTGCGGTAAAAATCTGTGAACAAAACATTTTAAGACCATTTGTGAATTTTTTTCTCATTAAATATAACAGTCCCTTCCCATTCTGCTGATTAAAATTTTAAAATGCATTTTGAAACTCATTTTATCGCTAAATTACATCGTACATAACTGGGACGCTGTGTGTTGTCTCGGCGTGATTGCAAGTTTGATGTCCATGTTATGTACAAGCATATAAACGTGAAAACCTATGATTCGGTTACATTTTCGGTAAATTTTTGCCATCACTTTTATTTGTTTCATTTCACGTCCCTGTTATGGTAAATTTTGTTCCAATTTTTTAGGGGGTGTGGTAATTTTGTGCCGATGTTGTCCAGTACATAACATGGACACCGGTGACCCAGTTATCATTTTGTCCATGTTATGTACGTTTATGATGAATAAAAGCAGTTTGAACCGAAACAGTTTCACTGAAATTAGTGATTATAATTTATTTCATGGTAATTTCACATATGATTTGTTAGGATTTGTGAATATTTTATGGAAGTTTTCAGTGCTTACCATAAGAACTAAGGTTCTGTACATAACATGGACACGAAATTCTGCTTTTCTTTTTAAAATGAAATTGTAATTTGTATGAAGTACAAAAAAGAGACAATTGGGGTTAAGGCCAGGCCTGATAATTTCCCAATTGAAATTAAATTAAATTCAATCGGTTTCCCAATTTTTTTTTTCTCCCAATTTTTTTATAGGGGGGTCTATATTTTTTAATTTTTTTTTTAAAACTAAAATTCTGCTTTTCTTTTTTAAATGAAATTGTAATTTGTATGAATTACAAAAAAAAGAGACAATTGGGGTTAAGGCCAGACCTGACAATTTCCTGATTGAAATTAAATGAAATTAAAGCAGTTTCCTGATTTTTGGGTGAGGTGCCGTTTTTTCACGACTTCGCGCGAGCGCTTGTCACTCTGCATTTGTTTGTGTTTTTTTTTCTTCTCCAAAACGGAAGCGGGCGGGGACGCTGAAAACAATTTTTTTTTCTTTTCCGCCTGAGACCCTATTTCATGTCTTTGTTGTACTAATTGATAGGTGAAATTAAGAAAGACTGTTATCCTTTTTTCTTTGTCACTCAATTAGGATTCTGATTTTCCTCATCTTTTTATCTTTTTCAGATTGCAGGCTTGCGATGGATGGTCGGGCTTTGCGTCCTAGAAGGGGTATTCCTCCCATCATGCTAACTGACCCAGTACCAAAGGAAAAGAAGAGCAGGAAAGAATATTCCCAGAATCAACGGGATAAACGAAAGAAGGATCCGGAGTTGCACCAGTTGTTCAAGGACTGTGAGAAGTTAAGACTTCAAGATTATAGGGAACGACAATCTGAAGCTTCAAAACAGCGCAATAGAGAGCTGCAGCGGGAGAGACAGAGGCGCTACCGGCAGAGGAAAAAAGATGTTGAGGTTGCCCAGCCTAGGACAAGGAAACAATCTGAGAAGCTTCGGACACAATGGAGAGAGCAAAAAAAAAATCAAAGAGCAAGAATGAGCAGACAAAAAGTAACCAGCTCCAACCAAAAAAGAAGAGAGTTCTATACTTCAAAGAAATCAAAGAAGAATGAAGATGTTAGTACGCCATCCACCTCCACGCAACAGACTCCACCCCGCAATCCGCCAAAGGACCAGAAATCAACAGCTTCTTCCCGGACCGCCAAATCCAGACACAAGAAAAAACTCTTAGACGGTCTACCGTCTGACCGGACTTTGAAGGCCGATGTCTTCTGTGCTAGTATTCATCAACAGACCCCACGATCAAAGAAGATCATTGCCAACAGATTAGGCATATCAATATCAACCCCCAGTTCTGATCTGAAGGAGTCCTTGACATATACACTGAAGCGCCTCTCGAGAAGCAAGACTGACATGGTGAGGCGTCGCATCATTGCCAATACATTGATGTCAAAGAAGAAGAATATGAAGTTAATGAAAAGTGTGGGAATTTCAAAGAAAGTTGTGCGGAAGATGACTAAAATCAGCAGAGAGACAAAGTGGCAGGAGTTCCGAAACAGAAGACAGGATGCAGTATCGGGTGATGACATGAAGACAGTCAAGAACTTTTATCATCATGGTGAAATAAGCTCAGACAACCCTAATCCACGGTCTACCATTAAGAAAAATGGGACTCTCTTGTCTAGGAAGGTAATGTCTACCACGCTGCATTCAGCATATGATCGGTTCAAGGTAATCCACCCAGAGGTAAAGATTGGGTTTAGTACGTTCAAACGCCTGCGACCCATCCACATCGTGCCCCGTACAGAAAACAAGTATCGTGAATGCCTGTGTGAATACTGCGTAAATATCGAGCTCAAACTGCAGGCAGTGGATCGAGCCCTGACATCGTCCGGAAAGCCAGAACTGAAGATCGGAAGCAAGTACAAGCTGTCAGACATGACTCTCTGTGCCAGGCAACACAATGGCCATCACTCCAAAACATGCATCGATCGTCACTGTGGAGAGTGTGGAGTAAACCGTGTTAAGGACCATCTTGAATGCATTGTAAGAGTTGAGAATATTCACTGGTACCGGTGGCAGCAGGGAGAAGTAGGAGGCCTAATCAGGACGACGAAGGTAGAGAAAAGCGGAACTGGCAGTGATCTCTTGAAGGAAATGTGCAAAGAGCTTGATCCCTTCAGCTACCACCTCTTCAATGCGAGGTGGCAGTACGAACAGTACAAATCAATAACTGCTGTTATACCCCCTAACACTGTAGTTATGTGCATGGATTTTGGGGAGAATTACACGTGCAAGGCCCAGGATGCCCCCCAAGGCTACCACTGGAACAACACCCAATGTACCATACATCCTGCTGTGGCATCTTACAATTGTCCTGACCCAAACTGCACAAAAATTGTAAGTGACTCGATCATCTTTATTAGCAATGATCTAAAACATGACCAACATGCGGTGCAGCACTTCACAAAGAAAGCTACAGAACTACTCAAAGGAGACAACATCACAGTAAACAGACTCATCATGTTCTCAGATGGAGCACCTACTCAATACAAAAGCAAGATAAATTTCACGGATTGCTCATACGGATATGAGGACTTTAATGTACCAGTTGAGAAGCACTTCTTCGGGTCGAGACATGGAAAGGGGCCATGCGATCGAGAAATAGGCGTCGTGAAAAAGTCCGTCAACATGGCTGTGGTGGCTCGGCAGGCCAACATTTCTACCCCCTTGGAGTTTTATGACGTTTGCAAGGGCAGACTTACACAGCCAAGGCACGGGGAGGACCATGTCCATATGAAGAGACGGTTCTTGTATGTGAAGAAAGGAGATGTAGATAGGAACAGGCCAGCAAGGACACATGTCAAACCAGTAAAGAACACGCGTAAATTGCACTGTGTAAGGGCGGTCCGTGCCATGTGCATAGAAGTCAGGGAACGCAGTTGCTTTTGTGAGGCTTGCAGACGAGGAGATGAGTGTACAATGAAGGAAATAGCTGGGGAATGGAGTTCAGAGATTATTCGTGCCACTGTGGCTGCAAGAGGTCCCGTTGAACTAGAAGAAGTGATGGACGTTGAAGAACCTGCCACAGACAACCCAGTAGCAGACCCGCCAGCTGATGACCCGCCAGCCGATGACCCACCTTCCAGTAGCCAGCCTACCATTCCGCCAGCTAACGACTTGCCAGCCAACAACTCACCAGCCAATGCTCTGCCAACCAACCCGCCTGCCAATGTACCAGCAGTCAATCTGCCAGCCGATGACTCACCTTCCAGTAGCCAGCCTACCATTCCGCCAGCTAACGACTTGCCAGCCAACAACTCACCAGCCAATGCTCTGCCAGCCAACCCGCCAGCCGACAACCAGCCAGCCGATGACCCACCTTCCAGTAGCCAGCCTACCATTCTGCCAGCTAACGACTTGCCAGCCAACAACTCACCAGCCAATGCTCTGCCAGCCAACCCGCCAGCCGACGACCAGCCAGCCGATGACTCACCTTCCAGTAGCCAGCCTACCATTCTGCCAGCTAACGACTTGCCAGCCAATGCTCTGCCAGCCAATGCTCTGCCAGCCAACCCGCCTACCAATGTCCCACCAGTCGTCAAGTATGGGGATTACATTAAAGTCTTGCTCTTGGCTAACAACCGCACAGGCAATACGAGGACATATGTAGGACTTGTGAGTATTCAACTTGCTCTATGCTTTTCATTTTGGTAAAATTTTAAGTTACAAGCAATAAAGAAAGAAACAACACCCTGTTTTGGATTGAAATATTTATTGCACAGTACTTTGAAGAAAACAAAAATCTCATAACATTGTAGTAAAATGGCAACAACCTTCAATTAAAAGAGTTGAAAGTTTATAATGTATCTCTACTAATTATTAAAAATTACATTCCTCTTTACGATGAATATTTAAAAAATCATTATATTAAACATGCATAAAACATCCAACATAGCAGAAACATAATGTATGTTCTTAAAGATTTGTGCTATTTCTTTATAACTAAAAAAGGAATTTATTTGTTTCTTTGTAAATTCTACAGATACATGGTATTGACCACAAGTCTAACGAGATGGAGGTGGCATTTATGAGGAGGCATCAATCATATTTCTTCTGGCCTGCCGTGCAGGACAAAGCTTGGGTCCCCTTGAACTCGGTGATGGAGAAACTTGAGCCACCAACCTATGACGCAAGAGGACATCTTCTCTTTAAATTTCTCCTTGAAGAAAAGGCCAAATAAATGACATTGTTACTTGCAAACTGTCACAGATGTCAGTTTAACCATATGCAGGGCTCCAAATAGTTTCATATGGAATTCTTTGCTACCAGAATTTTCATTTTCTTCAATCTCTCTAGTTTTACAAGAAATTTTGGGATGAAATCAAGATGGAAAATTAAACACTGAATAGCTAATTGCACATGACTATTTTGCACGCAATTTGGAAGCTATTCTGTTTATAAAATCCCAATTAAAGGGATCAGCTTGCCTTGGAAATTATTTTCCAGAATTAAAGTAGATGTACTTACATCCCAGAAATTTTCATTGAAAAAAAACAAAGTTGCTAACTGATCTTTGTCCTTTGAACTGAAGTTCCAGTATATGAAGCTAGGATGAAAGCATTACATACAAAACTTAATGAAACTATGAAATGCAATGCATTTTGGGGGGTATTCATTTGTTATTACATTGAATGGATAGTCTTAAGCATGGTCACGTTGGAATTCAAAAAGATTACACGGACTATATTTGATACTTGTATAACTGAATGAGTAAATTGGTTCAGTTCTCTTGGAAACTGCTCAAACTGCACACCTAGTGGTGCTAATCGATTAAGTATCGTGAAATGCTTAATGGTTAGGTATTAAAAGATTCAAATATCTTTGCATTAAAGCGTAATGTTTCTTGCTAGAACCTCCAGGTCTTGCTGCAATCAAGTTGCCTGGTTAAATGTTCAAAGGTGCTGGCCCTTTCATTATAAAGACGAGGATAATTAAAGAATAAGCAGTATGACTCCATATTTTCTTTTGGGGACAGGGTTTAGCCAAGCAGTGCATGCATTTGAACAAGAGTAGAAATGAAATACATGAAGGTGAAAGGGCACTATTACAATTACCTCCACCGTCCAGCTATGTTATTAACTAGCAAGCATGCTGAAGAGGGTGGTTAAGAACATAAAGGTGCATAAGACATTCAAGCTTGGGTGTAAACACACATCACATATAGCAGGGTTAGAGGTAAAGGGCAGGAGAGGTAAAGGGCAGGAGATATAAATAAGTAGATGTAGATTACATTTGTTTTCCTTTGTTTTCTTATTGAAAAAAGTAAAGGTTTATTGTTCACAGCATTTCATCTTATTAAAAGAGAAACTTAGAATGCATGGAAACTTGTCAAAGTGTTATCTGTGTAAGGTTTGCAATGGATTCTGAGATTTGGACATGAGGATGAAGTTACAGTGGTTGAGATTGGGAAAGACGTGCATGCATTGTACATAACTTGGTGTCCATATTTCTGTTTTAACAATATAACTTATTATATTTGCACTATATGTAACTTAATGGTGGCAACTTGTTTTATTTACTTTAAATTTGTTATAATAATTCCATTTACAAACAAAAAATCCAATAGCTTACAAATTATGATTTTTTTTTAGTGATACCAGGCATAAGGTGGACACCGAGTTATGTACAGTACAGTTTGTGATGAGTAGCATTTAATGCAAATAAATAGAAGTTGGGCAGTTAAGTGAAAAAAGGAAAATATGTGCATGTGTGTTGCATAGCTCTCTATAACATAAAACATTAGCATGAGAATATGTGCATAGATAAGAATGTGAGGAGAAAGTTTGTGTGTTACAAACTCATATGCGTTGTACATAACTCGGTGTCCACTTTGTTTTTTGCAATATTTTGAGAGCTTTTCCTCAACATCTTGATTTATCAGTTGTATTTTACTTACTTTATGATACACCTTAAAATACAAATAAGTTTGTTAAAAAAAAGTGAGATCTACACAGAAATAATTGCATGAAGTGGACACCGAGTTATGTACAATGAATTTGTGACAATGTGAACTTCGGTGGCTGATTGCTAGCAGGTAGAAAGTTCTGTATGCTCCAATACTTTTGGTGTGCGTTTTGCAATGTTTAAGGTCTATAGTCATGATATTACCAAGGAATGGCAATGAGTTTCAAATTTTACCTAAAATGTAACACTTGGGTACCCTTGATCAGAGCTATGCACATAATCTTGAAGCCTTTGATGTACTGTACATCTACCCTATAATGAAAACAATGTGGCACAGGGAGATTTTCGCTGTGGCATACAAAGAATTAAATTGGAAGCATTTTACTGATTACAATATAGTACATGTATATAAAAAAGTATAAAAAAGCATACACCAGTATAACAGTGCATAATGAGAATATGATGATGGTTAATTTACCAATAATATATCAATACTTCAAATATAATAATTATAGTAATAGTAGTAGTAATAAAAATTAGAGGAATAATAATAACATTAATAATAACATGATTAATAATAATTATAACGATAATGATAATAATAATAATAATAATTTTAAAAAATTAGTGGATATCACTCGTTCTTCTGTTTATAGTACGTTGTGTAAGAATTTTCAATGTTATTTTAATAGTATATGGCAAACTTTTTGCTGGATTAGCTGGATTCCAGTGAAAATCGCTAGATACTCCCCCCCCCCCCCCCCTTGCAGGTGCGGAAAGGGGAACCGTCTGTGTATGGGCAAGGTTGACAAATGTCACTTTTATTAAAGAATTTCCTATAGAACCAGTCAGGTGCGTACGCAGGGGGTGGTTTTGGGGTTAAACCCCCCCCCCCTCGAGTTTTTTTTATGTGTATGTTTTTTGTATGTTATTTTGGAAAACCCTCCCCTGTGAACCGTCTGTGTATGGGGAAGGTTGACAAATGTCACTTTTATTAAAGAATTTCCTATAGTAACAGTCAGGCGCGTACGCAGGGGGGGTGGTTTTGGGGTTAAACCCCCCCCCCCCTCGAGTTTTTTTTATGTGTATATTTTTGTATGTTATTTTGGAAAACCCTCCCCTTTTGATTTTTTTTTTTTTTTAATTAAAGACAAGGTTGAGTTCTGGGAAGAGGTGAAAAATAATTTGTGAGCGTTACTCATTCTTATTATGCAAGTGTGGAAGAACATCAGATAAGACATGTTCCCTGAAAAGCATGGCTCTTCAAATGCCTTCATATTCTAAATATGCATGTAAAATCGTAAAAATCGGGGGGCCGGCTTTTTACGCCACGTGTTCGTGTAGTCCCATATACATCTTTCTGTGTACAGTGTTTGTAACTTGGCCAAATTTCTTATCATTTTGATGATTCCAGAACCTTGCAATATACACAAATTCTTATATGCTAGATGATCAACCTTTTCTGGTCGGTTCCACACCGTTTCTTTCACAATGCAATCGCATGACCAGAACTCAACTTCATCTTTAAATTAAAAAAATTAAAAAAATAATAATAAAAAAAAAAAAAATTGCCAATAGGTGACCTTAAAAAGGTGACCTTACCCCCCCCCCCCCCCCCAACTGGACAAAATGTCAAATTTTCAAATTTCGAGACCCCCCCCCCCCCAAAAAAAAGTGTCCTATTACCCCCCCCCCCCCCCCCCTAGCTGCGTCGTTGCTATTTTTTGGGGGACTTGTTTTTAAAAAAAAGTGTACACTTACCCCCCCCCCCCCCACCCCGCTTATTCAGCGGCTGGCTAAGTCGTTGCGAAATTTTGGGCCCGATTTGAAAACCCTCCCCTTGAAAAAATCCTGCGTACGCCACTGGTACCAGTCACCAGATGGTTATTTCTGAATTCTGTTTAATAATTATGTCCCTTGTAAAAAAAAACCATGGTTTTACCATCATAACCATGGTAATACCATGGTTCACCCATGGTTTTACAATGGATCGACTGTTTTCAGGATCCAACCGTGAGTATCCATGGTTTTACCAACATAACCATGGTTAAACAATGGTTAAACCATGGTTTTACCACTGTTAATTAACCATGGTTTAAAAACTATGGTTAAACCGTGGTTAAACCACAGTTATTACACCACGGTTTCAAAACCATGGTTAAACCATAGTTTTACAGCAGTTCAAAAACCATGGTAACAAAACCATAAATAAACCATGGTTTAACCATGGTACTAAAACCATAGTAATGAAACCATAGTTAAACCATTGTATTACAATGGTTAAAAAACTATGGTTAAGAAACCATGGTTAAACAACAGTATTGCCAACGTTGAAAAACCACTGTTATTTAACCATGGTTATACCATGGTTTTAAAATGGTTCAAAAACCATAGTTTTTTAACCGTGGCAATATCATGGTTTAACCGTGGGTTCTTAACAATGGTTTTTTAACCATGGTTAAACCATTGAATAACCATTGTTAAAAAACCATGGTTAAGAAACCATGGTTAAACAACGATATTGCCAACGTTGAAAAACCACTGTTATTGAACCATGGTTATACCATGGTTTTACAATAGTTCAAAACCCATAGTTTTTTAACCGTGGCAATATCATGGTTTAACCGTGGGTTCTTAACGATGGTTTTTTAACCATGGTTTAACCATTGAATAACCATCGTTAAAAAACCATGGTTAAGAAACCATGCTTAAAACCATGGTTTTACCACGGTACAAAAATCATGGTAACAAAACCATGGTTGAACCATTGGATAACCATTGCTAAAAAACCATGGTTAAGAAACCATGATGTAACCATGGTTTTACCATGGTTGAAAAACCACGGCTATTGAACCATGGATGAAACCATGGTTTTACCACGGTACAAAAACCACGGCTATTGAACCATTGTTGAACCATTGGATAACCATTGCTAAAAAACCATGGTTAAGAAACCATGGTGAAACCATGGTTTTGCCATGGTCGAAAACCACTGTAACTAAACCATGGTTAAAAACCATGGTTTTACCACAGTTGAAAAACCATGGCTATTGAACCGTGGATGAAACCATGGTTTTACTACGGTTGAAAAACCACGGCTATGAAACCATGGTTTAACCATAGTTTTACAACTGTACAAAAAACTAGGTAACGAAACCATTTTTAAAAGTTCTACCAAGATACAAAAACCATGGTAAAGAAATCATGTGCAAACCATGGTTTTGCCATGGTTGTAAACCATGGTAACGAAACTATAGTTAAAACGATGGTTTTACCGAGGTTGACAAACTACGGTTACGAAACCATAGTTAAACCATGGTTTTAGAATTGTTCTGATACCATAGTTATAAAAACATGGTTAAACCATGGTTTTACCACAAATCAAACAACGGTCTGACCGTAGTTAACTACACTTTTGACATGGTCTCAACACGAGTATTAAAAAAAATTAAAAAAAACTACTATCATGTAACCAATGTAGTTATGACCACTATATACATAATACATGTATGACCAGCACTACTCGATTGTTTTGATGACCTTGAACTGATTCGATAATATGGAATTGTAACAATTTGCCCCAAAATAAATACAATTATTAGTGTGTTTGCTGCCATCTAGTGGTGGAATGCACACTGTATTTCCAATTTTGAATTTCTTCACTCCAGCCATTACTTTGCCGTTTCGCCAAATTTGTCTTCCTTTAAAACCCAGAATATAGGGGATAAGGGTTAGATTTACACCAGGAAAGAAGAATTGTACGAGACTAAGAGTATTCCAGAGCAAGAATTGGACAACATGAAGAACTCGAAGTAGATCTAGATTTCAATTTACCAGACAGTCACACTGGTCTACATACTACAGTACAGTCCCACACAGCCACTCATGTGTGGGAAAATATCGGTCTGCAGAAAACGACCAACTTTGCTTTGCTGCTGGAGCTATACTTTAAGGTCAACATTTTCTCCAGGAGGTGAGTAATAAGATTAAACATAATTTAAGGCTTGATACAGAATTGGGTATGCTTTCTGTAAAAATTAAGAAATTTGGTTATAAATCTCATTCTTCTTTTTGATTTTTTGTAAATTTTGTTCATGAAAAAAAACCAAACGGATTGCAATTGATGATGATAGTAGATTTACTAGATTATATTCCATACTGTACAATACTGCATCCATGAAAGTAACGTACTCCATGGAGCTCCGACGCCGATGCCAAAGGCATCGAAGCTCATGCAGATGTGGCCCGTTTATGAAAACGATTCAAACAGCGGCTGAGCGGGTTTGGTCACATGTTTTCGCAAAGTAAATACTGAAAAAGAGGTAGTCTAATTACAACTTTGACTAGACTTAACAATGTTTTTTTTTTACTCCTTTGGGCATCTTTCCAACCACTTGAAATCATAATATGAAGAAGTCTCGTGGGGGAAAAAGGGTGATTCTTTGTGCTAACCCGACGATTCATCCATGTTCGTTGATTTAACATGGCGAGGAGAAAGTACGCATGCGCGGTCACGGCGGAGCAAATATTAATATTCATGATAGGAGGGGGGTTTTCGGCCACTTAAGACAAAATCCTATTTTAGGACTCTTTACTTCCTATTATCATTTCTTGTTCAAATCATGAAGCAAATATTATTATTCAAACAAACAAAGAATCCCAGAAAAAAAATCATGAATTGCCATGACAATATCCATTTCAATTTTCACTGTTTCGGAGACAGTTATCGACCTAGCGAGACAGTTTTCGGTCGTATGTACAAAGTCAATAGGAAGCGCGCCCGCGTCGTGCGTTTCCCCGCTGATCTATAGTACTAGCGGGCGGAGCAGGTATCCCGAGCCGGAGCTCGCCATGCCGAAAACTAGTTCTGCGGTGATCGGAAATTGGAATCTGAATTGGACAGAGATATCGTGTGTGCGTTGCGGTGTTCGGCTGCATTGATTTAATACATGCGATGAGATACTTTTTAGCTTGGGACTCACACAAAATCGGGCTCTAAATATGAAAAATACTTGAAATAAAGCTCATTTTATGGTACCCATATTTCTTACAGACATGCGTAAGATACTCGATTTTTCAGATTCGGGTAGCGGGACCGCTGATTACATCGCTAAAATGTGATATTTTAGGATATATTTTCCATTGCAAATGTGGTTCTTCAGTGACTCTGGCATGGTATGGCATGTGTGGAATATGTGATATGCTATCATGGGATGTATTTTAAAGGAATTTTACTATGCATCCAAAGGACCGGCCGAAAACTGGTGATGGTCGATTACCCCCTCCTTTACTCTAGGCGCCGTTTGTCTAAATTGCTGTATAGGCCTATATAAGAGGTTGAGAAGGGCTTTGTTTCTTCGATTCATGCATAGAGACTATTCAGCAATTTCGAGTAAACAGCGCTGTTTGAATCACTTTCATAAACGGGCTCTGAGCACGTTCGTGTACCCCAAATCTCTGGTAAAGGGGTACTTTAACGCAACAAAGTCTGGCCCATATTGACTTAAATAGGTTGTTTAAAAAATCTGGCCCGTATTAAAACTACACACAGGAGATAGGGGGTGCTTTCAAAGGGGGAGGTACATTTGTAGAGTGTACATGTTGCTAATATCAACTCATAATTTTCGCTATATTTGATTTGAGAGCATATAATACAATTCTACAATGTGCTAATATTTATTTTTATTTTTCAGGGTATCTTCGGCTGCGGGAAAGTCATCAACATGGACTGTTCCAGTGAACATGCAGTCTTGATTTGTAAGACTAAACTGTCCAACAAACTTCACGGAAATTATGCAAGACATGGGTGAGAGTTTGAGAATTCATCTGTATGGGATCCCTATAGAGGAGAGCTTTTCAAAATTATACCAGTTATGCTGACCAGCAAACATTCAGCAAGTACATCCAGTACAATCGACCCTGTCACCTTTGTTCGGTCGGAAGGAATCTGAGAAAGTAATCTTCAATACACAGCTTTTTTTCGAGCAAAACTTTTAAATTTGCCGCACAGATGTGACGTATACGCCTCTGTCTGTGTTGTGAGGACCCTACGTCACAAAAAATGTCGCGCAATGCATTGTGAGAGGAACCGGCTCGATCATTCACTTGTTTTTTGCTCATTAAAGCCTTACTGCACTCCTTTTAGCTACTTGCTCCCTCTATATAGAAAACTTCCCCAATCGGTGCCTGTTGGTTCCCCATGATCCTCTATTTCTTATGTTATTTGAGAGCCGAGTTGATGAGATAGCCACCTGTCAGTGATCTCACCGTGTGGTCTAATCCCTTCTGGCCAAACTAGTACAGATGGCCTTTAAAGACCGTCAATACTACTGGGCCAGAAGGGATTTGACCACACAGCGAGGTCACTGACAGGTGGCTATCTCATTAACTCAGCTCTCAACTAACATAAGAAAAAGAGGATCATGGGGGATCAACAGGCACCGATTGGGGAAGTTTTCTATATAGAGGGAGCAAGTAGCTACAAGTAGGACAGTGGGGCTTTAAACAAAATTATTAAAAATAAGTCTGAGCACCATTTTCCAAAACCAAGTTATTTTGGGGCTGTACAGATCTTTGTCTATCTAATCGACTCAACTTTTCAGTGGAGTGGACTTGTACTTTAACACTTATTAAAGTAAGGCTGTGCATAACCGTGTAATGAAGTACTCGAGTACACTCCCAGGCTTACAGTCGAATACTCGGACGCCATGTTTTTTTTGGTTGAATTTTGTTGATATTTTTTGTTGTTGAAGTGAACTTCTCTATGTATAGTAAAATTATACCTTTACCTTCACGCGTATAATTCATCAATACAAAATTTTAAAGAATTCTTTTTTAGAATATTTATTTTTGTCATGACATCTCATCAAAACTTTCCAGATAGCCTTGCTACTGGTATGACGCAGCACTTTATAGTCATTATTAAGCTGTTCAATAATGGTTCGCATTTATCTGCCAGTTTTACCAGTATTTTATCAGCAAAAATATAAAAATGCTTGTTTTCGTGTTAGGAATATCTTTCATTCAGATTAGATTTACATTATAATAATTTGGTTTACACAACTGATATGTACATGCATACATGTATAAGCCCAAAAATTTGCCAGCGTTTGAGACTTTCCATCTATTTAGATATTCATGTTTAGAGAGAAGGTTGAGTTCTGGGAAGAGGTGAAAAAAAATTGTGAGCTTTATCATTGTATTATGTAAGTGTGGCAGTACATCAGATAAAAATGTGCCCTGAAAAGCATGGATCTTCAATCAAATGCCTTAATATTCTAAACATGGCATGTAAAATTATATATTGAGGTTCGATTTTTACGCCACATGTTCATGTAGTCCCATATTCACATCTTTCTGTGTACAGTGCTTGTAACCTTACCAAGACTAGACCAAATTTCTTATAATTTTGATGATTCCAGAACCTTGCAGTACACACCAATACTTTTATATGCTAGATGATCAACCTGTCCTGATCGATTCCACAACGTTTCTTTCACAATGCAATCGCATGACCAGAACTTGACTTTATTTTTAAGCTGTTCAATATTGGTTCACATATATCTACCAGTTTCACCAGTTTTAAATGACATTGTTTATTGTGCTCTTCAAACAAAAGCTGATGGAAGACCAAAGAAGATTGTTTTCATGTTACAATTTTTTTTCTTCTATTAAATGTGAAAATATCGAGTTACTTACTCATCCGTTCACTTGCCGATGCCAACAATTTTGCTAAAATGTATTCACTTAGTGTAATCTTTCATTGTGTGCTGAAACTAGCTTGTGTTCAAGAAAATATGTATTTGCTATAATTACTTTGTAATTAAGAGTACCGGTAGTAAGATTCCACTTGCCTGGTTAAAATGTCATCTTTAGTAAGTTTCCTCTTTACCATCGGATGACTTAGTTATGTTACATTCTTTTATATGTAACCTAGCTAAATTAGTCTAATTTTGTTCAAAATATGAGATTCAGGATTTTGGTATTTCCTAATGAGGGTATCTTAAACCCTCTGCGTAATTTTAAGCGTCGGAAATCATGTGTACATGTATGTAAATATGATATTTGTTTTAATCAAATGAAAATGATAATTTTACAGCATTTCAATAGAAGCTGTTCTTTGTAGTGGCCCATTTTCTCCCTGACTTTGACTTTAAATCTGCTTCAGCAATGTTCTAAATCTTGGGTGCTCGTTTTGAGAGGGTTTACTTATTTGAAAAATTATGCACCATTTTAAGATATTGACTTCTACTTTAATGTCATGTGAAAATCAGCACAATCCTTTTTTTGACCTATTGGTCATTTTGTGGTGTAAGGTCACATATGACATTGTCCAGTATCGTTTTGTAACAAATGATTGTAACACAGTAACCCAAAAAAATTATATAAGTTTTCAAATGAACACATTGTTAATAGTTCCAAAAGTTGAACAAGATGGGCCATATTTCCTCTTTTACAATTGTTATACCTGCTTGTAAGGGTTTCAGGGTACATCCTATATTTATTGTTACTCAGGTTTAAAGTCTTTTTGGGAGGGGTGGGTGGCTTTTAGAATAGAAGTGGTTGAAATAAAAGGCTTTTAATTCTGATCCTTAGGCCATTTTGTTCAATTATTCAAGGAGATGGTCTTGTTATTGTGTGTAGGGAGGGATATGGGTGTATAGGTGTGAAAAGGCATTTTATAAACATATGTCCATATTGATCCAGTTATTTGCAAGATGTTCATTACCATTTGTAAGTTTGTTATGTTTGTCTCATTAAGTCAGTGTTAATTACAATTTTTTTCCCCTCTCAAACAGTACATTTCAATTTCAATTGAAGAAATATAGTTATAGGTTTTTTGTATCAAACAATTGCTGGAATTATAGAGTTAAAATAGAGACCATCTGAAATGCATTACAATAAAGGGTACAAACAAGAAGGGGAAGAACTTGTTTTGACTGACTAGCCAAATACCTATAATTGGGATACAACTTGTTACCTTTCAAACAAATCAAATGTTTGCAGTTGGTAAAATTATCTTTGTATATTTGTGTGATTTTTTGGGGTCATGCCCTCTTTACAGTTTTTATTATTACAATATATGCAATAGGACCTCAACTCAGGAAAAAAAAAATCTTGCATACTCAGATACCTTGCCATATTTGTTCTTATTACTGACAGCTTTATGGTGTTGTGGTCAGTGTAATGGTACTCTTAATTGAAATATTTTAGTCTTTCCTTTTTATTCCTCATTAGCCTATACCTCATACATATAAGCTTGCTAAGTGTGTGCTGTTTACAAACAGTTTACTAATTAACTTTTTATGTGTACCGGTAAGACAGTTTATTACAAATATTTATTTGAACATGCATAAAGTCTTGCCACTTTACGTCTAAAGACTAGGATGTTTAAACACATTTACATGTATTACTCTAAAACGTGTGTGACATATATTTTATTAAAAGTATTCATCTTTTTCAACACAATTTTTCATTTCTTTTGGCAGGTCATTCATTGTGTCTCCCATCACTGATATCAAACATATATTATGTATTTCTTACACATTTAAAATAGCTTCTCTTTTCTATAAATGATTTACATTTCAGAAGTTTCACCTTGGATTCACCATGGTTTGTACCTAAAAGCCATGGTGAAATTATGGTTAAACGACGGAGAAAACATGGTAATACCATTGTTTGACTGTACCGTGGATCCATTGTAGTACCATGTTATCAAGGTGGTAATACCATGGTGAAACTGTAATACTATGGTGTACTGTAATACCATGGTGAAACCATGGTTAAACCATGGTTTTACTGTACCGTGGATCCATTGTAAACCATGAAATAACAGGAGTAAATTGGAACAGACATATTATGGTAAAACCATGGTTTTACTGTAGTTTTACCATGGTTTTGCCGTGGTCATACCATGGTGAAACCAAGGTGAAACCATGGCTTTACTGTACCATGGATCCATTGTAAACCATGAAATAACAGGAGTAAATTGGAACAGACATATTATGGTAAAACCATGGTTTTACTGTAGTTTCACCATGGTTTTGCCGTGGTCATACCATGGTGAAACCAAGGTGAAACCATGGTTAAACCATGGTTTTACTTTGCGGTACTTTGCGGTTTAACCGTGGTAAAACCATGGTTTTACTGTACCATGGATCCATTGTAAACCATGAAATAACAGGAGTAAATTGGAACAGACATATTATGGTAAAACCATGGTTTTACTGTAGTTTTACCATGGTTTTGCCGTGGTCATACCATGGTGAAACCAAGGTGAAACCATGGTGAAACCATGGTTAAACCATGGTTTTACTTTGCGGTACTTTGCGGTACTTTGCGGTTTTACCGTGGTAACACCTTGGTTTTACCATGGAAAAACCACAGTTTAACCATGGAAAATCCATGGAAAATCCATGGTAAAACCATAATATGTCTGTTCCAATTTACTCCTGTTATTTCATGGTTTACAATGGATCCATGGTACGGTAAAACCATGGTTTTACCGTACCATGGATCCATGGTTTTTTTTTACAAGGGGTAGATCTAATTGACATTTAAAAGATTTATATAAAACATTATACAATTTATAGACTGGTTAGGTCTACACCAAGAATACACTAAACAGATAATCAGAAATAACCAAGAATATAGACAAGACTAGCAGATCCATGCATAGATAAAGAATACGCTTGTAAAATTAATACATTTGTCATGACCAGATCAGTGAGACAGCTACTTGAAATTGTTAGTTGAAGCACTGTACACAGATACACTGTGTGTAAGGCTAACACGTCCTATACCCCCGCACTCATTGCAGTAGCTGAGCTGACCGGAGGGCTACCGGGTTTGTCCAACTTACCAATCAACAAGTACTGCGCTCTCTCCTCCACTGAAGAAAACTTTTATTCCAACAATCAAAACTCCTGCAAAAATAACCACGGTTGATCCTTTCCTAACCAGAGGTGTAAGAAATGTTCCTAATCATGGTATGAGTACTTTTCAGAACGAGAAAACACCGAGACAGTTACATTTTGAGCATATTTCCTTTTATGATCCGGATTTTCCGTGCTCTTGTTGTCTGCTAGTGCACTGGGCATGCTGTAAAGTTTCGTACACGAGTTGTCGGCAAACTCGAAATAAACTTTGTCTACTTCCGGGTTCTGTAAAGATAAGGTTGGTTGGCTGTTTGTGGGCTGTAGAAGCCGGAGTCAGTGCAAAGATTTACAACCACAAACTTCCCAGTTCTTTTGTTGATCCATTGTGACTGGGAAGTGTTCTGTTCTATGTTTTTAAAATATGGTATGGAATGGTATGGTATTCATTGAATCATGCATTGCAGTTACATATACTGAATTGCACATGGATATACATTGTTTACAGTGTACAATTTAAAACAGTATCATTTACATAATTATAAATACACGTAGGCCTATAACAATGTTCATCCTCAATTTCATACCAAATGTAAAATAAAAGCAAGAATACGACAAGAAGGAAATAGGGAATATGTACCTAAATAAAATTTGAAAGTGAGGAAGAGAGAAGGGGAAAATGAAGAGAAAAGAAGTAGAAAGAGAGGATCAGAGACCAAGAGATATGGTGAAGAAAGAGAAAGAGCAGGAAAATAGAGAGCTGGAGAAAGAGAGAAAGAAAGAGAGGGGGAAAGAGAGGGGGGGAAAGAGAGGGGAAAGAGGGAGTGAGAGACAACGGAGGTATACAAAAAAAGAGGGGAGAGAGAAACGGGGATCTTGCCAACAAAAAATACGAATCGACGCCGATAAAAAGATAAAGTATGCATTGCAACACTATGAATAGTATTAATAAGATGAACAAAAAATACAGACGGTAGTAAAAACCTAAACAAACAACCTCTTACAAAAATATATAAAAATACATGCAGATATAGCAGAGAAGCAAGATTCAAAATGAGAAATTGCAGACCTGAGTAAACTAATAGTATTAAGATAAAATAACGGGCAACCAGAGGCAATTTAACATAGTTATAAAACAGACAGTCCCAAGAGTAAAGATAATAAAAAATTATAAATTGAGGTAAAACGTATCTTCTCCTCACGTTCATTTTTTTCCTTCATCTTCCTTCTTACTCTTCCTCCTCGACGGCAACCTTTCTCTATTTTTTGTCTCCTCATTTTATTTTGTATTGTTCTTCTAAGATTATGCTAATATTTGTGGTCCGTTTTATTAATTGAAAATATTTTTTGTCTGTCTTTCTTGATTTCTTTCTTTCACTTTCTTTCTTTGTGTCTTTCTGGATGTTTCTGTCTTAATTTATGTTTCTTTCTTAATGTGTTCTTCTTTTCTTTCTCTCTTCCCCCCCCCCCCCCCCCTCTCCCTCTCTCACCTTCTACCTCTCTCTCCCCCTCTCTCTCTCTGTCTCTCTTTCTTTCTTTCTTTCTTTTTTTCCTTTCTTTCTTCATTCACTCTTTCTAAACAGTCTTGATTAGTTTAATTATGATGGAGACTGGGGTTGCAATTGTGAGCATGGAAATTGTATTTGAATGTACTATAGATGGCGCGGGATTTCGACAATCATGCTCCAGAGAAAAATTACCGTCGGGTTACGAAGAACCAGACGGAGACAATACAGAACAGACATGCAGAATCACATAAGAAAAGAAAGCGAGGAAAGGGAAGGAAAAACGTCCATGTTAAAGCCACTTGAGGGCGCTAGTTAATATAAACAATATGCAGCATAAATCAATCATGCAAAATTTGCTTTCACAAGATTCATAATTATACAGGTGTGTAGAAAAAGGGCTTCTTGGTTTGATTGTTCGGGTTTTTCAAATGAATGAACCACTGGCGTACCTGAGGGGGGGCAAGTGGGGCAGAGTGCCACCTCTGACGGGCTCCAGGGGAAAAAAAGGAAAAGGGGGGAAGGGGAAAGGAAAAAAAAAAGGAGAAAGAGAAAAAAGGGGAAAGAAAAGAAAAGAAAGGAAAGGAAAGAAAAAGAAAAAAGGAAAAGGGGAGAGAAAAAAGAAAAGAAAGAGAAAAAAAAGGAAAAGGAAAAAAAAAGGAATAAGAAGAGAAAAGGAAGAAAGAGGGGAAAAAAAAGGAAAGAAAAAAATGGGGAAAATGCAGTTGACTCCAGATATTTTGAAAACGTACAGTTTTTTTCCTGAAAATGTTTAACAAAGCTCACAAGTAGTGAAGGCCTACACCAATTCCTTCAATTCTACTTTTGAAAATTGCAAAATTACCCTCATGACCAGTTTGGTCGCTCGAACTCCCTTCGCTCCTTTTGCTTTTGCTTTTGAGTTTCTTCAAAAACTTTTTATGCATCTTTCCCCCTCCCCCATCAGAAAAATATTCCGCATACGGCAAAGACAAAGACAAATGAAAATAGGAAAATATAAGTGATTTAACAAATTCGGCACTCTTCGCTGGCGCGAGCTGCTTGCTAGCCTATTTTGTATTAATTGTTTTCACTTGCTCGTCCCCCTGAAAAAAAGAAAAGGATTAGCATTGCCTAAAATACAATTGCGTCTGCCCCGACTGGCCCCGACCTGCAACCATGGCAACCATAAGACCCAGTTTATGTACCAAATGTTACTAAAAGAGACTAATTCATTATTTCTCGCTCGCGAATAAATGAAATAGACATTGCTTTGAAAATTATTGTGCCCACCCTTGACCTGCAACAATATCATTAAAAATGGAAGAGTTTTTTCGCCCTCTCGCCAAAAAGGAATTGATATCGTGTTAAACGCGATTGCGCCCATCCCAACCTGCACCAATAAAAACAAGTTTATGTATTAATTTCTATTAAAAGAGAATTGATTTTTTTGCATCGCTATGATCGCTCACCAAATGGAATTGACATTCCTAACAAAATATGTGCGCTACCTTGCCTGCAACGAAAATCCCATTAAATAAGTACCGAACGTTATTTTGAGAGATATTGTTTCCTCGCTCGCCAGAATTGATGAATTGATTGATTTTAGTGATTGATATATGAGTTGATTTGTTTTTTGTTTTACCCTCTCTTGCTACGCTGTCTTTACAATTAACATTGCTAACAAACATGCTCACCCCAACCTACAACAAATTACCAGTTGATAATTATGTACCAGACGTTAATCAAAGAAAATTTGGTTTGCTCGCTAGCTACGCTCCCTCGCCAATATGGAATTAACATCACCTTAAACATGATTGTGTAAGCCCCGACCTGCAACAAAAAACCTGAAAATTATGCACCAATAACAATTAATTTTGTTTTGCCCGCCCACCAAAATGGGATTGACATTGGCTCAAACACGATTGTACCCACCCCAACCTGCAACAATGACACAAAGTTTATGTACCAATTCATTGAGGACAATTGAACCAAGTTTAATTGGCAATATTATTATTAAAAAAAGAAGTGATTTTTTTTATTCTTGCTCGCTACGCTCGCTCGCCAAAATGAAATTAACATCGCTAACGTGCCCGCCCTAACCTGCAACAACATTACTAGTTAATAATTATGTACCAAACATTATTCAAAAAGTTTTGGTGTGCTCGCTCGCAAAAACGGAATTAACATCACCTTAGACATGATTGTGTAAGCCCTGACCTGCAACAAAAAAACCTGAAATTTATGAACCAATTATCATTACAAATATTTTGCTCGCTCGCTACGCTCGCTCGCCAAAATAGAATTAACATCGCTTTAAATAATCATGTCCCTGACATGGATCAATGAAATCAAGTTTATGTACCATGTTCTCACCTTAGAGATCTGATTTTTTTTCGCTCGCTAGCTCGTGGAATTATGTGCCCCCCACTGACCTTCTACAATATCATTAAAAAGAGAAATGTAGGGGGGGGTTGCCTGCCCGCCAAAATGGGATTGAAATTGCCTTACACGCCCGCCCCGACCTGCAACAATGAAACAAGTTTTATATAGCAATTCATTAAGAGAAAGGTGTATTTTCGCTCGCTAGCTAAAATGGGTATAAAATTACCCTAAACACAATATTGTTCCCGCACCCGGCATGGGACAATTGGACCAAGTTTAAGTGGCAAATATTAAAAAAGAAGGGATTTTTTTTCTTGCTCGCTACGCTCGCCTGCAAAAATGAAATTAACGTGGTGTGCCCACCCCCGACTTGCAACAATACCGGTTTATATACCAAACGTTACTTAAATATATTTTTTTGCCCGCTCGCTCGCCAGAAGTGAAAATTAGCATCGCCTTTTTTGTATTGTTTCGATCGCTTGCCCCCCCCCCCCCCCTGACGGAGTACCCCAGGTACGCCACTGGATAGGACTTTGGCTAGTGGTGGATTCAGGGTTGCCGTTTCGAAAGATATAGAGAGGGAGAGAGAGAGAGAGAGAGAGAGAGAGAGAGAGAGAGAGAGGGAGAGAGAGAGGGGGGAGAGAGAGAGAGAGAGAGAGAGAGAGAGAGAGACTGAGTGAGAGCGAGAGAGAGCGAGAGAGAGCGTGAGTGAGAGAGAGTCAGAGAGAGAGTCAGAGAGAGAGTCAGAGAGAGTAAGAACATCTCTGACTAGCAACAACAACAAATAATGCTAACATTTAAAAAAAAAAGATTGGGTACTGTTTTGCTCGATTATATCTAACAATTAGAAAAATATAACACAAATCTAATTTTAAAAAAGCAAAAGTGTCTTCACTTTTCAGGCGCCTTTCTGGGTCTAAATGAGAAATAATTCAATGCATCTTGATTTTATTCACGCATGTTTTCTAAAAATAAAAAATGAAAAATAGGGCAGTAAACTAGTTAGCTAGGCCTGTAATTCTTCTCTCAAGTTTACCATTCAAAGAAAAATTATATATTTTTTTTTTTTTACTGAAATGACATTGTGCATTTGTTGTTATTTCTACTGCTGCTAAAATTGTTGTTTTCGTCGTTGGTTTTGCTCTTCTTCTTCTTCTTCTTCTTCTTCTTCTTCTTCTTCTTCTTCTCCTAATTATTATTAGTAGCAGTCGTAGTATAGTAGTAGTAGTAGTAGTAGTAGTAGTAGTAGTAGTAGTAGTAGTAGTAGTAGTAGTAGTAGTAGTAGTAGTAGTAGTAGTAGTAGTACTAGTAGTAGTAGTAGTAGTAGTAGTAGTAGTATTGTTGTTGTTGTCTAATTTTGTCGGTTAATTATGAGCAAATCCAAGCAAATAC